GTGTCTCAGTCTGCTGATCAGCTTACTGGTATGAAGCAGAATTCTTACTACTGTGAGGTTTGAGAGCATATGAATACCAAACACCTATTCTCTTAATCAACCATTACACTTGAAGCCATTAACTGAGGTCAAGTTATGCCTCGACCAGGTCCATTTTCACAAGATATGTTTGAAAGGCTCAGTTTTGACCTCTGTTCACATTATGAACACAATCCAGAACACTGATTAATGTCTAAAAAGCACTGAAATGGAATGATGACAGAGACCGGCATTCTCATCACCCACTGGGAGGTGAGTGACCTCTGCCCTTGTTACCACACAAGGAAGAAGAGCTGCACATTCGGAGTGGGCTAAGTAGCAGTGACAGTGATTAGCAAGAATCTCTGGAAAGCTGTGGAGAAGTGGAGAGAAGTGGCAGGAGAGAAGGAGGTTGGCAGGAGAGAAGACATGGCAGAGGCACCAACAAGGAGACAGGGGCAGGAGACAGAATAGTCCAGAAAGGGATGGATGTTCGTTGGAAGAATCTCAATAGGGATCTGCCTTACAGAGATTCCCTGAAATGACAACAATTATCCCCTTAATGCTTTACCTATCTGCTAATTTCCTACAACCCAGAAACCTGGAATGCCTAAATAAGAATACATTACTGCCCAGAATGAAGGACAAAAGAGCGCTAGGGACATGCAAATTTCAGTGTTACAAGCACTCACTGTACAATGGTACAATTCTAACAGCTCCCATTTATGAGGTTAAAGAAATAATGATTCATGAGACTGGCAGACACCCAGAATGATTTAAGCAGGCCATCCCGAACGTAAATGACATTGACTCACATTTCCAGTTGCAGGTGGAACTGGCAATTGTCTTTTCATAATTGTCTTAACTTGCTTTGCTAGTTAGAAATAGTTTTCTAGGTTATATTTCAAATCTGATAGTCATTAGAGGTACATTCTTTTCATAGATGTTTTGTACTTACAGTCAGTGGGAACATCTAGGACAGAACTTGACCTACAAACTTAAATATCCAGCAGCAGCCTAGATAGAAAATCTGTACCTAAGCCTGAGCCAGAATTAAAGTAAGACTGCTCAATATATATACATATGAACAGAGGATATATTTAAAATATGAACTCACAGATTGTAGCAGGCAAGATTCTTACAGCATTCTTCCACTCCTTAGCTGTTTCCAACTGCCTGTCTTCAAGAATCTTTTTATCAGATTTAACACAATGGTATTTTTATAAATAATGAAGGACGAAAAAATGAAATGAAATTTTGAATAAAAGCAACATATGGAATTTTCTTTACAAAACAAAACAAAACCAACTTACAATAGGAAGAAATATTCAGAGAATGAAAAAACACTGAAGTACTGCTCACTGATTTTTCACCCAGCTGTGCTTATAATTATCTCTTTTTTGCTCCCTTCTTTACCTTCCCTATCATTCAAAAGTACTTGAACTACGCTCCTCTTAGTGGCTATCTGCTTAATCTTTCCCAAGGCATGACATATTCCAGACCCTTACAATTAAACGACGCTCTGTGATGTTGCAATGATGCAACATCCTCACTTAGGCTGACTTCAGTGTAACGTCATGAGTTTGACCTCAAAGATTTGACCCAATTGCTGTGACCTGACATTTGCAATCTAGTACAGCCTCAAGTCTCAAAGAACAGCCCTTGAAACCACTGGAGAGACTTAAGTGAAAGCCAGAATTAAACAGAATAAGACAGAATTCAACACGAGAAAGAATAAAAAACTTGTAACACAGCTTGCCAATACACACCTAACGCCACTTCGCCTGTTAGAAGGTGTTGGGCAACATGCCTGCATTTTAAAGTAGGAAATATCAACAGAAAACCAGAAATTTTAACAATCCAGGAGGAAATGGCAGAGCTACATTATGTTCTGAATATATATATATATTCAAAAATGAGGGAAAAAAGAAGTCCGTGTGCTGACTAATTGGTATACAGTGGAGCTTCACTGAAGTGCAAAGTGAGAAGGTGTGCAGTACTGAACAACTATTCTATGGTTCTGACCATCATAGTGAGGGATTACATTGCAAGAGCTGATACGGATGTATGGAAAGGCAAGTCAACTTTTATTGTGGATCAGCTTTCAGGTTCAGGAATCACAGCTGCAAATCTTTTGCAGCTGGTGATGTCCTGATTTTGCAGTATTCATAATCTAAGGAACCCCTGGTTCTTTCACTTGCACAGTATCTATAGAATTGCCTTTGAAGTCTTCTCCCCCACACTTCCAGATAGCAAAGCAAAATTTCCTTACTCCATTAGTACGATTAGCTAGAACACTGCAACAACACGGAACATTTACACGTGTACAATATGGCATCATACTGAAAAGCCTAGTATTTACTCCTTGGAAGCTAAACAACAGGTAGAAAAGAAAGAAAATAGAAATGTCAATGTGTCAAAACTTGTTGAAAACAAAAAGATACTTGGCTCTGCTTCTTGGCTTCGTCTGTAAAAGTTCCTGAAGGCTGCATGCAGAAACTTGGTAAACTGCACCCAAACAACAGTTCATGACCTCATCCAGTGTCATTTCTCAGCTCCATGTAGGGCCATACTAAGTTCTTGTATGGATAGCATTCAGAATCCTGTACAGCTTGGGGACTTGTTCTGCTGTTCTGTCAGTACCACTTTCCTGCTTCTCTTAATGCAGGATGTCTTTCTGGCTTAGGTTATGAATACAAGAACAGCTGTACAAGATATCAAATTCCATTTAGCTCTGTATCCCACCACAGACAGCGGCTTGGCAGAGGTGCTGAAGGACTGGACACAAGAACAGGATGGAAACATGACATAATGCTTCCACCAAAATACACGCTCAATCTCTAGCATCATGGTTTGAAGATTATTCAATTAAAAACTAAATTAAAAAAAAAAAAAAAAAACGAAAGAGAGAGAGAGAAAAGCACGCCCTGTGCAGTGCCAGATACCAGCTGGCTTTCTTGCTTACAAACAAAACTTCTGCACCTTAATCCATTTTTGTCTCTTTCACCATTTTTTGCTACCATCCAGAGCCAGAGTTGCTGAACTAAAAAACAAATAACTGGAAAAATGAATTGTCCAAACACCAGAAGATCCTGCACAAGCCTCGTAATTCCATGCCTTTGTTCCAAAAGAGGTGTCAAATATAACCTCATGATCAAATTTTACAAGTTAGGATCTGGAACTAGACATAACATTAACCACCTGAGGCCTTTCCATGAGAGCAAATTAATGGTCAGATGACTTACTATATTGCTGTCTATTCTGAGGTCATTGCCCGTGTGCAGTTACAAATAAACACATACTACATAGAACAGTGATGAACGGTGACTAAACGTACCCTGGGAATTCAGCCCTAAGTACCTTTTTCTAATCAAATCCTTCGTTTTGTCAGCAAGTTCCAGGAAGTAATACTTCTATACTTTAAAATAGCTAAAATCTGTTGTGTATGGCTCTGTATTTACTATTTTTTTTCCCCTTAGAATACTGTCTTCCATGGTCTTAAGAGATAAAGCCACGTCTCCTGTGGCCAAGTGTGCTCAAACAAGCAGGTAGGCTTTGTGGCAATATCTGTTACTGATTACCTGAAATAAGGTCTTCCAGGTAAGACTCTAACCTGCCACAGTCTGATATCCTGGAATTATAAATAAACACTTCTCTCAAATTGTGACTTCTGAGCTGTCAGGGAGAAGAAGAGCAGTAAAGCACTGATCTAAGTCTGAAGTTAAGGGGAGGAAGGGAAGCGTGGAATAGCTTATAAGGAAAACTGTCCTTAAAATTTTCAGAGGAAAATCTGAGAACAAGGCAACTCTTAACAACATTTTTATGGGAAATGTAAAGGAGAAGAAATTAAGAGACAGCGCTATTAAAGCAGTTCAAATACAAGCTTTCCCCATAGGAAACAGCTGGAGGGCTTGCTCCCTCTGCTGGAGCATCCTAATGGAACCACATGGGACTTGCTAGCTTAACCCACTTTTAAGTCCACTGCAAGCCTTTTTGACCCGGAAATTAGGATTTTTATGAAGATGGTCTGATTAATGCAGGGTTGGTTACCATTTCTGGCTCACTATCACGTGGAATTTTTTGAGAACGTACTGAGTATGGAGATGTGGGGACAGGGCAGAGATCTTTCGTTTTCATTGTTTTTGCACTGAAGAGAAACAAAATAAAGCATACAAGTTGTACATATTCTTTTCAAATTATGGTTATACCAGCCCAGTGCAACTGGAAAGCAACCAGACTTCTTCCAGTAATGTAAAAGAGAACAGCAGCTCTTACTGTACGACCTTTGCTTTAGGATGGATTACTTGCCAACATTCCTGTAGCCACATATAAAGAAAACCACGTCACTTTTTCAACAGTATGTTAAGTAAAATCTAGTCTTACATATTTTGGCTTATGAATAAATATCCTATTCCAGGAGAAAATAGAGAGCAAACCTCCCCTCACAAGGCCAGGCTGGATGAAGCTTTGAGCAGCCTGGTCTAGTGGGAGATATCCCTAACTGTATCACAGGGTTTGGAACCAGATGGTCTTAAAGGTCCCTCCCAGCTCAAACCATTCCATGATCCTATGATCTTCAGGTGAAGACAATGCCATCAATTGGTTATTTAATATTTGTGTTGGATAAAATCATGCTAGCATGGTGCAGAACAACAGAAAGACAGCATTATTCAGACACCCACTGACACAGCTCAGCCTTTGCTTGCAATAGTTATGGTTAAGGTATCTCTTTCTCTCTTTTAGAGTTAGGTTTATCTCTTGGGCTCTAAAACACCCCACATGGCTTTGGACAGACTGTGGGATCTTGTCCTTCGTAATTCAGATTTCTACCAGCTAAACGATACTCCAGTTGCTTTATTCTTTCACACCTTTCTATAACCTAAGTTACAAAGCTGCGTTATGGAATCTCCCTCCTTCTGCTCACACATCCAACATAAACATCTGCAGTTTTAGCTGGGCTGTACAATCATAACACTACAGAAAAATATTTAGCTAAAAACTCAATTAGATGTAAATTTGTGGATTCTGTGGCCTCTCCACGTTTAATGCACTTCTCCTTCTCCAGTCTCACCATCATTTCAGTGAACAGCCTGGTGATCACCTGAGAAACTGAATGTAGAAGATGGAAACCAAGTACTGCAGCAGCGACAAAGAAGAAACTTTCAAAACAGAACTGCCATACTGCATGGGAGAAATTGACTTCACAGCTTCTGGGAAGAAACGTGGAAAGGTACAGCAATAAGGAGTCTCAAGCTTGTGGCACTATTGCTATTGTTCAGCTGTTAATATAGAGATTATGAAATTGAAGATGAGTGTACTAGAGTGCTAGGCACCACATTCTAACCAAAGTAGAGACCAAACCTTTATAAGCAGCACTGTAATTTTAAATGACACCTATTAACAAAGAGAAATCAATCACTTGCCCTGCACAGACCTGCTACAGTTACAGTTGCTCATCTGTTTTCCGCTTTAAAAATGAATAAATAAATAAAATCACGTGTCCTTCATTTTCCATTATTTCCCTGTTGTAATCACTTTCTTCCAAATAGTTAATCACTATGGATTTAAACTGCTGAGCTGTTTCAAGGCTCTCAAAGTTCTCTCTCCCTTTCCTGCTAATACATAAAGAAAGCTGTACACAGACAGATCCTCTTCCTCACTGCTCTCTTTCATCTGCTCCCTCCCAAGCACAAGGAATTCCTAGGATCAGAACTCAACCTTAACAGCCTTAAGGTTTCATTTCATTGTGAAGTTTAAGCACAATGCTCACTGGTAATCCAACAGTAAACAGCATTTACTTTGCCAAATGAAAACCTAACCTGAATAAAGGCCAAGAAAACTCAATTGAAAATGAGGAGGATGTGGACACTTGAAAAACAGACATGAAATCAGGCAAACATTTCAGCTACCTCAGTAACAAGAAATGCCTAAGAGATTTCTTGGCTTTGCTAAACTGCCATGAAACTGAAGGCAATTAAAGAAGAATAGCAGCATTAAAGGAGAGAGCAATTTATGAGTTCATAGTGCAGAACAAACCCACAGAGCTGACATGATTAATGAGATTGTTTTGAATTTATTTGTGAACTATTTATGAATATTTATTATTTACGAATTTCACAGAAGCCTGTTAAATTCATTCTAGTATTTCTTCTCTGTCAGGTCTTGCTCAAATAATCAAGGGGTACTAATAACCATTTAATTGTTATGGTACATTTGCCTTCACATTTACTGTATTGTACTGTGCTGTTATTACTCAGGGTTTATTTTTTTTTACTTGTTTGTTTGTTTTGTTTCTACTCAAGTTTATTAAGGTCCCGTGCACCATTCACCCTGGAGTTATATTTGAAGTTATGCTCAACAAATGGAAGCTACCGGCTCCCAATTTGGTTGTCTCTTTAGTAGGGGAAGATGAAATTTTCCAGATGAAGCCTTGGTTGCGGGACACGTTAAAAAAAGGACTCATTAAGGCAGCCCAAAGCACAGGTTAGTGCTTTAGGCATTAAAGGAAGAACTTATACTCCTGCTGGATTCTCACATCTAGTGATCTTCTAGAGTCACTGGCCCTACTCGCATGATTGCTTCACAGCTTTTGGTTTCAGCTCACTGGGTCAGACAAGATTTAAACAGCTTTGGTTTCTGTATTGAAAGAGCCAACTATCAAACCTTTTTTTTTTTTTTTTTTTTTTTTGGCACTTTGGTTCCAGACGGTTTTCTTTGCTTTTACATCCAGCTGATTTCCATACTTAAGATTAGATAGCTTTAAGATTTCCAGGTCTTTTGTGTTACGTTTTTGAAAGTGTTCTGTTAACAACCAGGCCTGCCTGGTGTAGTAATGTTTCTACTTGCTTTCAGACATTGAGTCCAGTCTAGAAATAGGGAAGGGTGTGTTGACAGCACAGCAAAGACAACAAGGTTGCATCACATGGTATATAAAGCATGTCTGCTTGGGCACCTGATTCCTTACTTTCTCTATTAAAACCTTGCATTCAGTATACGTTTTTAAATTCTAAATGTTACAGTCCATTAAGATTATCAGTATTTGAAGGGAGTATATCCACAGGAGGGGGGAAAGACTGTTTATGAGGGTGGATAGTGATAGGACAAGGGGGAATGGTTTTAAACTGAGACAGGGGAGGTTTCAGTTAGATACTAGGAGGAAGTTTTTCACGCAGAGGCACTGGAACAGGTTGCCCAAGGAGGCTGTGGATGCCCCATCCCTGGAGGCATTCAAGGCCAGGCTGGATGTGGCTCTGGGCAGCCTGGTCTGCTGGTTGGAGACCCTGCACATAGCAAGGGGTTGGAACTGGATGAGCACTGTGGTCCTTTTCAACCCAGGCCATTCTATGATTCTGTGATGATTTGTCCGCAGGTAACCTGACTATCTAAACAATACTTAAATCTGGTACTTAAAATAATGTTACTAAGCACACAAATGTTCAACTAAAAGGAAATTATCTAACAATTCAAAAAACAATTTCAGATGCCTGGATTTTTACCAGCGCTTTACGTGTTGGAATAACAAGGCACTTGGTGCAAGCAGTCCGAGATCATGCCTTGGCTAGCACATCATCCAAAGTAAGAGTCATCACCATAGGAATTGCTTCCCTTGGAAAAATTCAGCACAGAGAAATTCTGGACAACACAAAGGTATTTTTTCCCCTTATTCTACTCGCAAGACAGGATTGTTCAGAAGTGATCTCCAAGTTTACAAACTGTTAAAGTAGTAGAGAACAGAATATTGAGCTACCTTAAAAACAGAAATGGAGTTCAATGTGGGAAGACAGAGGCAAAAAGCAAGGAAAGTCGTTAGAACCCTATGATTCCGTGCCCTGCAGAGTATATCTGGCACCTGTTCTTCAAATATCCAGCAGGTGACAGTATTGGACATGAGCTCAGTATCTGGGTAAAAGGGAACTTAAGGAAAAACAACACATCACAGGATACTTTCAACACTTTTTTTTTTTTTTAACCTTGTCCTACTGCAGAATTCCAAGCTATTTCAGAAGTACCCTATATCTTAGTATCAAATGAAACCATAAATATTTCAATATCAAGTTCTCCTAAACATGACACTGAATTAGACACTGAATTGGTGTCTAACAAATGCTACACATGCAGGATTTGGTCTAGTCTGCATGAATTTTAGGCTCTCTACAGTTCAAGTCAAAGCAATGGAAGTTTATGCATCAGTTATTGCAAATGCCAAGACAAGTTGATGCTGAATTGACCTGGGAGTGGAGAAGACAATTAATGACATTCTTGTCACTGTGTATTCTGTCTGTCCTAAGCAAACTGTTGTAAGAGTAATGTAGGTATGTGGTGACAATTAATGGCAATCTGTATGTACTATTTTATTGCAGAATCTGATAAGCAAATGACAAAGACAGCTCTTTGAACTTGTATCGAGTTCTTTATCAGATAGACAGCAGTCAAATACTAGCTATGAGCAGGGAGAGGCTGCCAGATTGTATTGCCATTTTACTGTCACTGGGTTCCCTCCCATCCACACCTTTTGCCAAGCTGTGTGCTCTGTCAGATGAGACTCTCCAGTAGGAAGACATCAACCTATTTGAGTGGTTCAGAGGAAAGAATTTGGTTCATTGCAGTAGGGAATTTTCTTCAGGAAAGTTCCTTCAGCAAGAGTAAACCAACTGTTGCACCTCCCTCCTGGGCTAAGCAATCACAAGACATCTCAATCCATCCCAAACAACAGCTCCAAAACAAGTGCACTCTTACTGAATTAGATTTTCTCCTTGATTAGAGCCCAAGTTCTCTGTCAAAGAATACTTGTAGAACATTCTTGACCCGCTGACTTCTGGCACTACATCTACCAAAGACATTCTAGATTTTAGTCAGTTACTTTAAAACAAAAGAACTACAGACAAGGATGTCGATCTAAACCCAGTTCACCTTATACTTGCTATTAGCACAAACAGCTTGTTGTGTAAAGTAGAGCTAACAACACACACTTGCAAGGACAAAAGCAAGCCCTGAAATCAATTGATCTCTTCCTTGTTTCTTTTACTGGCATGCTTTAAATATCCTTGAGTGATCACTTCCAGGTTTTCAGGGAATATACAGGGAAATCCCTGAGAGCCTTTTTCAGTTAGTTGTACACCTCACGGTCCTAATCTAAGGGTGAATCTCTGGTGAGCAGGCTTAAAGTTACATGGCAGCAGAACACAGGCACACCCTCCATCAAAGCAAAATTTAAAGACAAATGAACTGTTTTAATATAACTTTCCCCAACAAATGAGAGATGTGGAGTGAGAGGAGGCGGCCAGAAAAACTTGTGACATTAGAACGTGCAAGTTTACTGTTTTTTTTTCCTCTGGAACAGCCTCCAATGTTCTGATTCTTCCCAGAGCTGCTGAGAGGGAAAGAAGCCATAGGAACACATCTTATTACAACTCTTTTGACCTTTGGAGGATATTTCACTTCCGCAGTTTGACCTTATACAGCTTTGTTTCAGAAAGCCACTTTGCAGAACGGCATGGAGTATGCTCAGCCCTTCTATCAGCAGCATATAAGAGCTTGCTCTCCAAATTCCTTCACATTTTTAATGAATTAGTAAAGTTGCTACAAGCTCCTGGTAGTAAGCTCACTGCTTCTCCAACATCAGCCATAGCCTTGGTTGTGGAGGAGAACCTGAACAGCTCCTAGCTTGAATTTCCCCCAGGATTCAGCTTGGGCACCTGCTTTTTCCATCAGACTACAACAAAAGCTGAGATTCACAAGGGTTCCACATAATATCTGGCTCTTAAAAACAATGTAAATCTCTTTACCACACCTTAGTAACAACTAAGTAACTTGCATAATTACATTGCTATACCTAGATAGGCACCATCTGTACACACAAAATTAGCAGAAGGAATAAGGCAATAGATAGGCACAATAGCTAAGCAGGTATTTTGCTCATCAACTCAAAGGCTGCAGAAACTGGGGAAGAAGTGAAAGATAAGGCAGCTTTTAAACCACAGCACTGATCTGGCTGACTTGCAACAGAACAGTGGTTATGAAGAGGAAAAAGAAAAATAATGAGGCATACATAGCCTGGCTTGCAGCTAGAAATGATATATCAAATGAAAGTGCAGCAGTGGAAAAGAAGGGGTATATTTATGGAAGGAGAGCTTGAAAAAGCATGGATGGCTGTCTATGATTTGTGCAATCCTTACAATAGGAGGCTGAAACAGAGGTTCTGGTTTAGCTAGACAGTTATTTAATATAAAAATTCATTAATAAATAATTTCAGTGACACCTCCTGCCCAAAATAAATAGATTACACCTCCTAAAATCTACCTGGCACTCACTTCTTAGAATAAGGCTTCCAAGTTATGAATTGCCATTAGATCTCATATAATCTTGTCAATTAAACCCAAGCTGCATTTCATTTGATGTGGATGAGTAGCAAGCTAACTTATATACTGGTATGCACATGGCAAAAACACTACTGAAACAAGCAAGTTAGCCTGCTTGCACCAGCAGAGACTTTAGCCCTCTGAGACAGTAAGGCTTCATTCACAGTTATCAAGTCTCATGGCCCCTTTCACCTGCCTAACTAACACTTCCAAAACACCAAAATGAATACCTGTGATTCAGAGATGATGATTCATATCAGCATATTTTGTAAAGCTTGAGAGAAAAGCTTCAGGAACTTCAGCTTTCAGTTCTATCAAATCTGGCACCTTTCAGAAGGAGCATTTTCTTCTTCAGCATCCTTTTTATGGATGTTATTCAAGACTGAAAGATGATGCTATACTGCAAGGCATAGACAACATGAAAAATGGAGATAAAACATATGGAAACATGTGCTGTGCTTCGTATAGAACATTAACATCTCTCCTCTTACCTCTAGGATGGAAGTCTTGTACACTACCAATCAGATGATAATGCCCAAGGCCCTCTGTATTCACTGGACCACAATCACTCCCATTTTATTTTGGTGGATCATGTAACACCAGATGATCCAGATGAGACCACTAAGCTACGGCTCACCTTGGAAAAGCACATTTCAGAACAGCGTACTGGATATGGTGGTAAGTAGACAAGAGAAGCATGCTAGCTTGAGCAACAGTGATGTTAAAGGGATACCCGTGGTTCTATCTTTATCAAAGGCAAGTCAAGTTCTCAGTTTATCATCTGCATGGGCAAGAACAAGTAAACACAGTTGTCACTGTGCAAGAGGCAGAATTAAGCTTACTTAGGTTGAAAGAAAAAAAAACAACAAAAAAAACAAGCTGCTCTGTGAAACAGAAATCCTGATATTTGTTGCACCTCCCTAAGTATAACTCAAAGCTGACCTTCAAAGCATAGCCTAAGTTGCCTTAAAAGACAACAGATGGAAAATAAACCCTCTTTTAAGTGCCCTAAACCAGCAGCTCTAAGAAATGGATGTTCACTGTTGTACACTTTCCTCCCTTTTCACACACAGGATCTTGAGCTGCTTCCACTCTGGCCAAAAAGAGCTGATCAAAGCCCCCTGAAAAATTTTAAACCATATTATTTTCAGTATCTTATCCTGGGTAAACAATATATATCCAATGCTCATCTAAACCTATGTGAGCTTTGTTTAAAACGAGAAATGAGTACAGGGACAGGTCTCCTTCTGCTACCTGTGGAAATACTTCAGTTCAGTTCTAAGGTGATTACTTTCCCCTTTTCTTTGTTTCTATAATACCTACAGTGCTAAAACAGAAGAGAAAGATCACTTATTCACATTTCTGTGCACCAATGGAATACTCAATTACACAGCCTATAGTTGTACCTGTGTGAATGCACCCAAAGAAAGCAAATCCGGTCACTCAGATGGGATAGAGCGCACATGGACTGTAATGGTAGGGTGAGGTATGAGTGCTGACAGTTAGAAAGTAGCCTCTTTCTACTTGCAGACCAAATTTGATTGAACAAATCTCAGTGGAACAATTTCCTGTCAGAAAATGCTGATTCATTTGACAAATATTTCCCTAGAACAGTGGAAGTGCAGTGAGATCTTCAATAAACAAAACCAGTATCATTCACTGAAGTTCATTTATACTCAACTTCAGCAAACTTCGACTTTACTAAACTAAAACACTCCAAGATCATGCATAATTCTCTATTAAAAATATCTACAATTAGTTAAGCAGGAAGCTTTAGTATTTGGAATATTCTTCGCACTTAAGAACTTCCCACCTTCCCCAGTATAACATTAGAATTTCCCCATCACCACACACACAAAAAGGCTAAATTTAATCTACATCTACTTGAAGTGAAAAAGATTTGAAACCACAAGTGTTTCCTGAGGATCCTGTAGTCGCAGGGGACACTATTCAACCTAGAACAACACCTTAAGGAGGTATAACAATTCCACGTTGTTCACTAAGACAAATGAAGTTACATGCCAAGCACAGCTAGCTCAGTTCTATTTTATCTTTGTAGGCAACCCACTACAGATGTTACAACCAGCACTAACTGGTGATCCATATACAGTTTGGGAAACATCAAAAAATAGTTTGAACTCATCTTCCAGCTGTAAGAGGCTTTCATTTCACAATGCTACTGTTGTAACAAAACCTTTTGAAGGCCATTCTACAGTCATTTTTTGAATGCTGAATTCAGTATTTACTAATAAGTGGAAACCTGTGAGGATAGGTAAGGACAGGGAGGCCTATGTCATTTCTTCCCCTGTGGCCATGATAGAAATCAAATATTCAATTCAATAATTCAAATATTTCCACTGGAATTTCTTTTGAATTCAGCACTGCTAAAAATGTAATATTATGTTATTGATAGTCAAAACATTAGGCAGTATTAAATGATATTTTAGGTTGTTTAAGCAGAATAATGAAGAACGTAGGGTTCTTATCAACCCATCTGACTCATCTCACCCTAACTAGTCTGCACAGTCTGCCTCTTGGTATTTAGTCCTCTCTGTGTGTTTCTCCTAAATTCCACTGCAAGGGGGAATGATTTTAAACTGAGACAGGGGAGGTTTCAGTTAGATACTAGGAGGAAGTTTTTCCACACAGAGTAGAGACGCACTGGAACAGGTTGCCCAAGGAGGCTGTGGATGCCCCATCCCTGGAGGCATTCAAGGCCAGGCTGGATGTGGCTCTGGGCAGCCTGGTCTGCTGGTTGGCGACCCTGCACATAGCAGGGGGTTGAAACCAGATGGTCACTGTGGTCCTTTTCAACCCAGGCCATTCTATGATTCTATGATTCCTGCTGGAGCTAGGTTCCATGCACAAAAGGAATGGGGCAACATTCCTCAACAAATGGGACAAAGTGACATCAATTCTAACTGCATCTGAATATAAGTAATGTCAGCTGACTCTCTCTAAAAACTTAACCTTGTCTTGTAATCTAAGGCAGCACCATTACCCCTCCAACACTTTCTTCTGCACTCTCCTGCAGTCTGTCTGCAGGCTTGAGTTTTTGCACGTACTGAATCATGACAAAACAGAACAAGTTTTTTCAAGGGGACAGCAGAAACACAATAGTCTTGTGAAAGCTCTTTGCTTGTTTGTTTTAAATTAAATCACCTATTTCACAGGAACAGGAAGCATTGAGATCCCCGTGCTCTGCTTACTGGTAAATGGAAGACCAGGCACTCTTGAGGTAAGAGGCAGTGGAAAATTTGGTTGGATGGTAAATACACATACTGGCACTTTACATAAATTCAAAACTTAGAGCAATACACCACATAAGAACTGAATTCTGTTAATAGTAAGTTTAACAGTATTTGTTTAGGAGAAATACCTCATTTTGAGCAGGTGCCAGCAGATCATTAGGGCTTCTTGCCAGCTAGTACAGTGGGAAACCCAAAATCATAAATTCTCAGAAATTAGCTTCAAATCTAGCAGCACAGAAGCACTGTACTAGTACTTAGATGACATACAAAAGCCTTAATTCAGTGCTGTTCAGCAAGAGAGAGATGATTGCCACTGTCACAGAGCACCAAAGAGATACAAGGCCAGGTTTGCTAGATATACAGCTTACAAATTATAGTGCCCTACTTCCCCTGAGCAAAAAAACACTTTGTATGACAGAAGGCTGGATGGCTGCCTGCTGACATTCACATCATCTTCAATGAAAAATCAGCTATGATTTTATTTGAGCACTTCCATAACTTACAGAACTTGTTGGCTAGGAGGCACTCTCTGACTTCTGTTTTTCTTTTTAAAATATTTTAATCTGCTGCTTTGTAGCAGCCAATGTCCATACAGCTTTGTATTTCTTATATAATACTCTTGCATGAGGACGCATACTCTACTGAATATCCAAAGAGACATTTAACCATTGTTTAAACGTTACAAACGATGTTTACCAGGTTCTGTAACACATTTCTTCTTTAAGAATAACAGCTCATTTCCAGTGACGTTTTTTAGTCACAGTTTCCAGTCACTGCATCTCATCACATCTTCGTCACATAGATTAAAACACGCTCTGGTATTAGAAATCTCACTGGTTGAATTGCAATGTTGCTTCTTGAGCTTTCATTCTCAAAGCTAAATATGCCAGCATCTTCTACATCTCGGGTATTGAAAAGTCACATCAGAACCAATACATCTTTTCAAAGCTCTAGAGAACAAAGCGACTTGGAGAACCAAAGGTGACTGGTTGGATCTGCTGTACATTCACATATGTGCTAGGAAAGAATAACCAATTGCACTTCCTTTTATATATATATATATATATATATATATATATATATATATTTAATATATATATATATTTATATATATTTAAATATATATATATATATATATATTTAATATCCACCTTTTAAAGACAAATTGGACAACACACACCAAAGACTACAATAGTTGTTTTAAAACAAATGAATAATAAACCAACAACGCCTTTGATTCTCTTGCTGTTTGTGGTATTGAAACATGTAGAGTTTCTTCATCATCTTGCATAACTCCAGAGTAAGAAGTAACAGGCAGCAATTAGTCATTATTGCAACTATGCTACCACAGCCTCTGCTTTCCTCTCTCCCAACAACAGTCTTGACTCTTTCAAATTGCACAACAGAATTGGCAGCCTTTAGCTCTTGCTGCTGTTGTGCTTCAGTATGTTTTTTTTCCTGTGGCTCAGCGTTGTAGTCTCACAAGCTCCCAGTTTTCAGAACACATAGATAAGTTTAGCCACCATAAAAACCTGTTGGGAATTTCTGTTTATGCTACTCTTGTATTTGACCATACTATAAGCACAAATTGCAGTAGGAAAAGAGCTGGGGAGGGAAAAAAGAAAGCAGCCATAGACAGGTAGGTTTTATGCACTGCCTGTCCAAATCAGTTGCTTAACTCAGCAGCTGTGTCATGCAAAGTTTGCATAGTCATGGGCTGATAATGATTAATCTGCTACAAAATAAAAAGATGGTCCATAAAAGACTCTGAAATCCAGAGTAACTCTGATTTGGATACGCATTTATTCCTAATTTGCAGTAAGTGATTTCTCTTTGAGCAAGATTTTCTTTCCATACTTGAAATCTAATAATTTTCTTTTTAAACTACAGAGGATTTGCATCGGTTTGGAAAATTCTGCTCCCTGGCTTATCTTAACAGGGTCTGGAGGAACAGCTGACATCCTAGCTGCATTCATGGATGAGCCGCAGCTCATCAAGCCAGAAGCTGTTGAAAAGCAATTTAAAGAGAAATTCCCTGCAGAAAGCTTCCTGTGGAAGGACATTCTCCAATGGACAGCAACAGTGAGATCATATGTCTGATAACTGCATGCAGTGTTTGATCATTATGTGCATAATGTTCACAAGCTCTCTCCAACCGTTTCTAGCTTCAGTAGCCCATTCAGCACAGGTTTGAGGGGGCACTGCCTGAACGTTTTTACTCCATTGCTCTGATGTTAATGACGGAACACCTCTCTAGCATTAAAATCAAGAGCTCAGTTGATCATATAAATGACTTTGTCCTAGTGATTCAGCTGAATACCAAGGGCTCTATCCTTTCTCAATTATTTCCACTAGTAACAACCAGCACCCAAAACCCCACAGTCCTTCTGGGGAACATGAAGCACTATTTATCCTCCACAGCTGTGGAGCTTGTACAGCTGTGACAGAAGAGACCTAATTCACAATCTACAGCTGTTAAGTGGGGAATTTACTGTGAGCATAATAAACTAATGAGAACAAAGGGTGTTTAGAAGTTATCCTGTCTATTGTTTGTTATACATGTTCTTAAAAAGGAAAGACAAAACAGAGGAGATTTTGAGGCACACTGGACTCGAACCATTATGCATTTTAGAAACAAAAAACCCAATTGGACATTGTCCTACTGGGGAAAAGCACTGCCTGTCCCTAAGAGAAATGAAATTCACAAAACCTGACCCACTACTTATTTTTTGCAGTCTCCACTAAAAATCTTAGCTTTAAAGTTCCACATGCTAATTCCAGTAGGAGAACTTTGTCAGATTATACCACAAGGAGATGGAAGGGCATCAAG